CGCAGAAGCGCTTGAATGCGGCAAGAAATCTAGCGGTTGAGTAATCCGTTGCTAGCTTCAGGTGGACGGCGGAGGTGGTTATGCAGATAAAGATTACGAGAAACCCCTTATAACAGCGGCTAGCACGGCCGCGCCACGTTCTGAGCATAAACGGACCGACGTAGTCCACGCCAGAGTTGAGAAACGGGCGGGAACGACTCGGGATGGCGGAAGTTGAGCTCCTTGGCAGTGTCGGCTCGGTAGCGAACGCACCGAACACATCAGCGGATGAATGAGCTGACGGGCGCCCTGCCTCCGAGTATCCAGAACTTCCGCCGAAGAGTCGAGAGCACCAGTTGTACATACGCCGCCGTGCATGGTGCGAGAGTGGGCGTCCTCAATAAGCAGATGCGAGAAAAAAGCGTCCCGTGGCATTAGGATGAGATGCTTAGCGTCTGGGTCGATCAGAGCATTCCGCAACCGACCCCCAATGCGTAAGATTCCGTCGGCGTCGAGGAATGGCGTGAGACGTAAAAAAGGATAAGGGCGTGGAAGGAATCTTTCCCGCGTCAGCACCGCGAGCTCCCGTCCGAAGTGAGCTCGCTGAACTGTGCGCACCCAGAAGCGTTCTGCTTGAGTGATGTCCTGTGGAGTCAGCGACGGTGGTCGACAGGATGGCTTCGTGCCTTTGAAACGAGAGCAAGCGTGGAACAACCAAGCTGTAATACGAAGCAAACGAGTTAGATTGGAGTAACGGAAGACGAGCTCCGAAATGGGACCGAACGAAGGAGTGGCGAGGTTGGAGACAGTTGCTCGTTCCTCCAGATTGATGCTGGATTCGACTGGAGGGATGGAGGTTTCCCACGACGTAGTGTCGCAGCTGAGTGCTGAGGGTCCCTTCAACCAAAGCTGATGCCGGATGAAAGTGCGAGGAGACAATCCGCGAGACGCGCAGTCCGCTGGATTGTCGATTCCACTTATGTAATGCCACGATGCCTCGGGGGCCAACTCGTGGATGGCCGACACCCGATTGGCGACGAAGTTCTTTCCAGCGGGAAGGATGATCTTGGAGCCATGCTAGCACGACACTTGAGTCTGTCCAGAGGTGCACAGGGAGCCGCTCGAGCTGTAGGACTCTGCGCACCCGTAAGAGAAGCCGGACGAGTAAAACGGCAGCGGAAAGCTCAAGGCGCGGGATGGTGACGCGCTTGATAGGCGCCACCTTGCTTTTCGCAGCGATAAGCGAGACACGAATAGCGCCGTCGTTGGAGGTGCTCCGGAGGTAGAGAACGGCACCGAGAGCGTCGTTAGACGCATCCAAGAAGCCGTGGAATGACGGAAGATGGGTGAGCCACGAGCCCATCGGGGGCAGCGAGAGAGAGGAAATTGCTCCGAGCTCGGCCTCGAAATCCATCCATCGTTGAGACCATAGCGGTGGCATCGGCTGATCCCATTCAATCTGAAGCCTCCAAAGATCTTGAATGAAAATCTTTGCCCGGATCGGGGTGAGAATGAGGGTGGCCCATCCCAGCGGATCGAAGAGTTGCGCAAGGCGCGACAATACGATGCGCTTGGTCAGAACGCTGATGGGCGCCGGTGGTTGAAACTGGAACACAAAGGCGTCGGAGCGAAAATCCCATGCTAGGCCGAGAGCACGAGGAAAAGCGTCGTAGGAGAAACCCCGAACATCTTGCGGACGGGTTTGCTCGCCGATGACTCCGGAGATGATGGCCATCGTCGTTGGCCATCCACTTGTGCAGCTGGAAGCCGCCCGCCTTGAGGAGTCCATCCAATTGCGTGATTTTAGCTTTCGCTAAAGTGAGCGTGTCCGCTCCGGAGAGCACGTAGTCGACATACATCTTCCGGCGGAGGATGGGTGCAGCGTCTGGGAACCGGGGGCCCTCGTCGTCAGTGAGCTGCAGTAAAACACAAAGAGCGAGGAATGGAGCGCAGGACAAGCCGTAAGTTACGATTGAGAGTTGATACTCGTCAGGCTCTCCATCCGGACTCCAAAGTATTCGCTGAAAGTCCCGATCTGCCGGGTGCACCTCGATTTGTCGATACATTTTCTCGACATCAGCGAGAAAAACGAAGGAGTGCCGACGCCAGCGAAGCAGGACGTCGGCGAGATCCTGCTGCAGTTTCGGCCCGACGTGCAGACACTCGTTGAGAGAGACGCCTGACGTCGAGCGCGCGGATTCATTGAAGACAACCCGCAGTTTACTGGTCGTGCTACTGGGGCGGAGCACTCCATGGTGAGGCAGGAAGAAGGCGGGAGCTAGAGGCTTAATCGGCGGGACCTTCCGCATGTGTCCAAGAGCTTCATATTCCTGGAGGAATTCCGAGTAGAGACGAGAGAGATCCCAGTTTCCTTGGAATCGCTGTTGCATCCGGCGAAGAGCACGCTCAGCTTGTGAGCGAGAATGTCCGAGAGACGATGTCGAAGCGCGGAAGGGCAGCCGAACGATGTATCTGCCCGTTGATGAGCGTGAATGCGTTTCCCGGAAGTGAGCCTCACAACTTGCTTCTTCTTTGGAGAGGGTAGGAGACCCGATCGGCATGACCTCCTCCTGCTGCCAGAATTGAGAGAACAACTAATTGAGCTCGTGATTCCCGACTCCACACATGCGGAACGGCCTTTGACTCCGTCGAGGCACTCTGTTCGATTGCGGGGATGATCCAGCCAAGTGTTGTATCTTGCGCGATGAGTTGGCTCCGCCCGCCTTGACGAATGGGGCCGCGCAGGAGATGTCCATAGACTTCGGCACCGAACACAAGATCGATCTGGCCGGGCGTTCCAAACTGAGGATCTGCGAAAACGAGATCGCCGAGGTGCGACCACGATGACGGCGAGATTTGATGAGAGGGAACGCATCCGGTCAACCGAGGCAGGATGTACGCGGCGACGTTGATCTCGAAACTAGGATCGGAGCACGATTGTAGGCGGAGGGACAAGACTCCTCGCGTGGTATATGATGGCTGCGATCCGATACCAAGGATCGGCACACTGGCGCGATGACGCGGGTGACGAAGAGACTGAGCTAGTGACTTGCGGACAAACGAGAGCTCCGAGCCTTGATCAAGAAGCGCGCGACCTTCGGTGCCGTGTCCTTGATCGCGGAGAATGCAAACGCGAGCGGTCGCGAGTAAAGTTAGCGATCGGGGCTCGGAGGAGTCGAGCGCGACGTGGAACGATTTGGCCGTCGGATTCAGCGTAGACGTAGACGGAACGGTGGTCGAAGCGAGTGAGGATGCAGTCTCCTTGTCGTACGTCGGTGTCGCACTTGTGTCAGCGGTCGCGCGATGGATGAGCGAGTGATGGTGGCCGTCACACAGACGGCATTGCTTGTTGGAACGGCACTCATTAACTCGATGAGGGCCGAGGCAATTAAAGCACAGGCGTTTCGAAATTTAGCACTTCGCGGCGTTCCTCCACCGATTTGGCGGAGAATTCCGGGCACGAGGCGATATAATGCGCACCGTTACAAAACGAGCACTTGCTGGAATTGGTAGCCGCGACATTAGCCCGAGCGGGCGGCTTCGATTGAAGCGCCTTCGCTGATCGCGGAGGTTTCGCGGCGATGCACGGGGTGATCACCTCCAGCGCGCGAATCCGCCCATCGAGAAAAGTATCTAGCTCGCGAAACGTGGCGGGTTCAGACTTATTCCTAAGAAGAAGTTCCCACGCTTCGCGGGAATCGACCTCGAGTCGGCGCGCGACTGAACAGACCAGGAATAGATTCCATGACTCAACCGGAGCTTTGAGTCTTCCGAGAGCTTCCTTCACGGTTGATAACAATTCCTTTAAATCGTTAGCCGATTTGCGCGAAAGTGGAGCTAGCGAAAATAGCTGATCTAAGTAAACGGAGATAAGAGTGCGCCACAAGGGCATCCCAGGCGCGAGGGAACCTGTCGGCGGTGATGGGAATGTACGCGATCAGGCGGGCGACTTCCCCGGTGACGTTGCTTTTCAAATAATGTAACTTTTCCACCGTGGAGATATCCGAGTTAGCAATAATCATGGATTGGAATAAATCGCGGAAAGAAGGCCATGACTTATAGTCGCCCAAAAACTTCGGCAGTGCAATTTTCGGGAGCGAGCGAGTATTGTTCGAATACGACCGAGAAGTTCCGTCTGTGTCAGTCGAGGACTCGCGGGTTTTCGGCTGATCTTGCTCTCCCGTCAAAAGAGCGCGCAGCTGGATTAGGTCGGACTTAGCAACGATGTATGTGCTTTCACAGGCCAAATACAAGTCCTCCGATAAATACTTATGAGCCTCATTCCCTTCCAAACTATTTGCGAGAATAGATTCATTTCCACTTACGAATTGCTGCCAATAATCATTGAGCAGTTGAGTGCGCGCATCCACTGAGTGTGGCGTAATTTTTTCTTTACTCAGCTTCTTGAAGTTCTCGATGGTGTGTGAGATGCGGTGATGTAGATGCTCCTGCTGGCGGACGAAAGAATCGATGGAAGTCATTGTGCAGCAGGACTTGCTTCTGTTAGATACTCGGAAGCTCGCATCACGATGGAACGAGTAGTGGAGGAGTGAGAGTTCGTTAGATTCGAGTTACACCGTCGAGCGAGAGAGTTCACGAGAGCACTATCGAAGAAACGAGTTTTTGAGGTTCCGGAAGTCGTCTATGAGAGCGGCGATCAGCGCGATGATTCACAACCGAAATTGCGATAACAGATCTAAATTTTTTTAATCCGGTTCGAAGGATCAGCAAATGTTGAGAGGTTTGCTGAGGAGAACTAAGGTTCTTTGAGAGAATTCGTGCTAGGTATGAATTCCGATATTCCAAACTTTTATTCGAACGATTAGACGACTGCGCTGCTCGTACAAAGAGTTTCGACTGATTCGATCTTCGCGGAAGGCGCGCGCGGATACCCCGAAACAACGGCGGAATTCGGTGAGGCTCGGTGATCAGGTGACATCAGCTAATTGGTCGGAGCACGAAAAATAAGGTAGACACACGCGGCGAGCCATAGACCGAGCACGTGAAGGGCGGACGGCTAAAATATTCGAGGCGGAGAAAACATCTCTAGAGCTGAGAAAAATATGACGGTTACATAATGTCGTTTGTCGGCGGCTATTGCCGATTTTGTCGGAACAGATATGCTCTTGAAGCGAACGTTGTACGTCAGATCATGAATCTCAAAACAGCGAATGAGATGTGGAATCGGCGCTTGTCACTGTACGAATTACGAGACAAGACAATCGTTCACCTGCTACTACAAAAATTCTTCGACTACCGAATGGAAGAAGGAATGTCAATAGGCCAGTACGTGTCAAAGATCGAAGAAATGGCTAGAAAACTCGAGGATCTCGGCCAAAAACAAGAAGAAGTCGCGATCGTTACGAAGACTTTACACAGTCTACTGTCTAATTATCGTCACGTGATCTTAGCTTGGGATTCAATGCCATCGGATCAGCAAACAATGGCAAATCTGTTACCGCGCTTACTCAAAGAAGAGGCTCTAGAAGCATCCATGGCCGGAACATCGCTTGAAGATAAAACATCGGTGGCGTTATTTCATAAGAAGAAATCTGATAACAATTCTAAGGTAAAATCTAACAAAGATGTAAAACAAAAACCGAAGAAATTCAAGTGTTATCATTGCGGTAAGTTTGGTCATCGAAAGTCTGAATGCAGATTTCTAAAATCAGAGACATCTGGAGAAGCTTCTACTAAAGAAAGTAACGAACTGCTGATG